TAGAGGCTCTGCAGGAAACCTCCTTCACTGGGCACGTTGTAGTCCCATTTTAGATATTCCAATCCATTATAGGGCAGAAGACAGACTTACAAGCTTTCTATGGTGATATTTCTGGCTATTCCTTTCTCTCCCCCTCAACTATCTATTTTATAATGGTATGCCAGGGAAACCAAGATTCGAAAGACAGCCAAGCATCTTAACATTATTTCCCCCTCTTTACCCATTCAAACCATGCCTCAATCCCTGTATCCCAGAGGTCTGTTGTTCCAAGGTTGTGCATACATCATGATTTACCTCTGTCTCACTTAGCCCGGGCAAACCTACATAACTGTTCTCCCATCCGCCTTGTTCTTCCATTCCTCTCCCCCTTCTTGTATATTGCCCCCCTCCCCAGAACCCAAACTATCCTGTGCTCCATCTTCTCTTCCTCCCCTCACCCCACCCCCCAAATCCTGGTAACCAACAAAGAACCCCCCTCCCTTTTAGTATGGGTTCTTTTTCTTAGTCTTTTACAATCAGCGATCTTTTGAGTCAGTTAAAACACAGCTTTATTAAAAATTAATTCATATGAAGTTATCATTTATTAATTTATATGGAAGACAAAGATAATACACAGTTAAAATTCATAACTTCCTAATTGTTTCACATATTCTATTATCTAAACAAGGAGCTCTGGTAGCGTAGGGTTACAAATCGGGCTGCGAACCGCAAGGTCAGCAGTTCGAAACTGCCAGATGCTCCATGAGAGAAAGATGAGACATTCTGCTCCCGTAAAGATTAACAGCCTCGGAAGCCCTGTGCAGGGTCACTATGAGTTGGAACCGACTCCACAGCATGTTAGCAGTTTCAAATTAGTCATGGTGGGTGTGTTTGCACCACCCAATCAGCACATGATGCAAATCAGGGCTTTTCCCCTTATAAGCCAGTGCTTAAACATTTACCAGAACAGCATTGGATACAGCAGTTCATTATTTTGCTGAGAGGTGAGACTAAATTCTGGCTATGGTGAGACTGGGGAGGGGATGTGTGTGCTGTTCCCTTCAGGTCCACGTGCCAGAGACTGACCTCTGTGTGTCTCTCAGCCTGTCAGTCTCATAGGTAGGTGACTTGTACTTCTCTGACATGATTTGCAGCATTTGTTGTGGGGAAGGACACACATGACAGTAGTATCAGTCATCATGGTGATTTGCCAGCATGTCGCACCTATGACCTTTCCAAGTGGCAAGGGTTGGCAAACGTGAAGTTTGAGTAAAAGCAACAAGCACTATCTTAGAAACAGAAAACTGAAGTGTTTATATCCCTAAACCAATGAAAATGCCTTCTAAAAATCCAAATTACCTTCTAGATCCCTTTAATATATGGAAAGGAGTCAGAGGTACATGTAGACTAGTTACGTGTCGACCACCAAGTTTCAGGCCCAGTGCACTGTGCAGAAACACAACAACAGAGCTTGTCTTCAAAGAACAAAGTCAGGTGAATGGAAACTGTCAGACAGCTGGCTCAGTGGCGTTCTCCAGCCAGAAAGGCAACTCCTCATGAATGCAGTTTGGAAAGGACTTGGGGCACTCACAAACAACACCACAAAGAAGTTTACTTGTGGTTTATTGCCTATGCAAAGGTTTATGACTGTGTTGCTTATGACACCAAGCTATGGATAACATTGCAAAAACTGGGTATTCCAGAACACTAATTATGCTCTTGAGGAATCTGTACATAGAACAAGAAGCAGTCGTTTATACAGAACAAGGGGACACTGAATGGTTTAAAGTTAAGAAAGCTGTGTGCCACCACAGTTGTATACTTTCATCAGAATTTATTCAATCTGTATGCTGAGCTAGATTATAGGAAGTAGTTCATGGCTTCAGGATCAGAGGAAGGCTCATTAACAAACTGTGATATGCAAATAATACAACCTTGCTTGCTGGAAGCCAATAGGACTTAAAGCACTTACTGATGAAGATCAAAGACCACAGCCTTTAGTATGAATTATACTTCAATGTAAGCAACAACCCTCACCACCAGACCAATAAAGAGCATCCATATAAATGGAGAAAAGATTTAAGTTGTCAAAGACTTCATTTTGCTTGGATCCACAAATCAACACTCATAAAGTAGCAGTCAAAAAAAAAAAAAACAAACAAACAATGTGTTGTTTTCGGAAAATCTGCTGCCCAACACCTCTTTACAAAGATGTCAGTTTGAGGACTAAGGTGCGCCTAACCCAAGCCATGGTATTCTCAATAACTTCATATGCATGTGCAAGTCGGACGGTGAATAAGGAAGATTGCAGAAGAATTGATGCATTTGTGTTGCAGTGTTGGAGGAAAACATTAGAAGTCCCATGGACTTCCAAAAGAACAAACAAACAGATCTATGTTGGAAGTACAACCAGAATGCTCATTAGAAGCCATGATGGCCAGACTTTGTCTCTCATACTTCAGACATAGTCCCTAGAGAAGGTCATCATGCTTGGTAATGTGGAGGGTAAAGAAAAAAGAGGAAAACCCCCAAAGGGATGTATTAGCATTGTAGTAGCAGCAGTGGGCTGCAGTGCAACACCAATTGTGAAGATAGCTCAGGACTGAGCAATGTTGCATTCTGATGACTAGACAGCACCTACCAACCAGAGCACTACATACATTCTCCTAAGACTGGTAGATATAATCACGATCAAGCTCTTCTAGGTCTTATATGAGGAGGCTTTGTAAGCGATCACTTATAGGATTTCAACCTGAAATTAAGTACCCGGTTTTACCTAGGTCATCTCACAAACAAGCCTGCTTTCAGAGTCCTAAAATGCAGCAATTAAAGATTCACTTCTTAATCCTCTCTTAAAATGCAAATCCTCTTAGTGCTTTTTAAATCAGCCTTTTGAATCTTAATGTGGATGAAGTCATGAGTGCCTTGTCTGAGAGCATTTCTTTTCAGAAGGGACAGGGTAGGTGAAGAATGAGCACCTGGAAGTGGAGGGAAGGGCTGAGAAGATGAAAGAAAAAAATAAAAAGGGAAGGGGGGCTGTTCTTTGAAGAGAAGTCAGTGGAAAACATCCTTAAATTAATTTCCTTATTTCCACTTGGACCACTACTCCAACTGGTTGAATGATACTAATCTGCCCCGAATGCTACAGTAGCCACGTGAATTTGTTTAAAAATATAGAGTGAAGGAGGTCCAGTACTCAGGTCCTGTCTTTGGGGTGCTTTTTACTCACACTTCCCACTTCCCACCATGCTACAGGATAAAAATGTGTATCTTTGGATGGCCTTCTCGAGAGCACATGGATTTCTGCCCATGCTTCCTTCTCATGTTTACATTTTAAAGACATCTTTAAAAATAGAACTGAGCACAGTGTAATTAGAGGGTGTAAGATCACTCATGATAGAGTTCTCACCTTCCCTGCAGGAGAGCCAGCTTCAGTTCCCAGGTAATGCATCTCATCAGACTTTCTAGTAGAGTCCTGCGTGTTGCCATGATTTTGAGCAGGTTTCAATAGAGCTTCCAGACTAAGAGAGACTAGGAATAATGGCATAGAAGTATACCTCAACAACATCAGCCAATGAAATCTTTGTGGGTCACAATTGTATCCACACCCATCTTGGGGACAGCACAGGATTAGGCAGTGTTTTGTTCTAATGTACATGAGATTGACATGAGACAGGAGCCGATTCCATGGCACATATTATTAGGGATGATTTTGTCTTCTCCATATTTTGCTAGGAAGCCGAATCTGAAGTTTGTTGGTCCATAGACTGAGGTGGTCACAATGGCACCACACTTGTTAATTGAATTATTCAAGGAGACTGCCACATGACTAATTCACAGTGACATAAATAAGCATAATTTCCCATCTTTAGGGCAAATTCATGATTTTTAAAGAAATACCATTATCCTGACCTTATTGAGACCTTGCTGCCTTTGCTGAACTGATGGGTTTTCAGTGAGCTGAGAAGATATAAATCTGAAGATCAGCTACTGCAGCAGGGAACCCATAGAGGTGAATCCTTCTTAACTGCTGTGAATTGAAGTTTTCCTTCTGTTTCCTTTTCCATTCAGAGGACATCCTCCTCCCTGTGCCTTCACGCCATTCTACGCATCTCATCGACACAGTCTGCTCTTTATCGTCATTATTGAACTCAAGGCCTTCTGTGCAGTGGGTGGCTAGTCTCTGACATGATTTATCTTTCAGAACTAAATTATCCAACCCAGCTGGAATCCAGGGTGTACAAATTATCAGATGAAATATGATGAACATAAATAATACATATGTCACTTGCTTTGGGTTTTTTACTCCGAATCATAATATTTCTTTTCATTCATTCCAGTGAGGATTTTTGTTGTTTTGAATGCCTGTTAAGTAGTCGGTGTCAAAGGGTCACCTCTCCAAGGAATACCTCTCATACCTTATCCAAAATTAATTATTTTTGTTCTGATCCTACTCCATTAGAATTATCCATGTGAGAAGTGAATTCATTTTCCTCTGCTAGCAACTATGATTTATCCTTTTTTTTGTATGTTGTTAAGTGCTGTCAAGTCAGTTCCAACCCAGCGCGACCCTGTATTGGGTTTCTGAGAAGCTTGAACCACCAACCTTGTATAACCTCTAGCTTAGCTCCTGGAGTACAGTAAGGGCCCAGTTGAATGCATACATGGAAGAATTAATGTTGTCGCTTAGAAGCACGATTATGGAATAAGCGGTGTAATCTTTTTATGGAACACTCACATCAAGAGATGATTTGATTTTCTACCTGTTCTGAATACCAAGTTTTGCTTTTCTTTAAATTGTAATGTTTTTTTTTTTGTTGTTGTTGTTGTTTTTTTAAAGAACAATTTGATACGACAGAAGTCATTTCTGAGTTTATCTACTTAGAGCAAACTTGTCAAAGGTACTTCGGAAAGATTGTTGTGGATCCTGAGGAGATATACTTAGTAACTGTATTGAATAAGTTGTCACGTAACACAACATTCCAGTGATTTATTTCTATTATTTTTGTATCTTACTGCAGGCAGAGAATTCAGCATTGGCTTTGGAAAATGAAAATCAAAGGGAACAGTATGAGAGATGTCTTGATGAGGTAAGATGGATAGCGCCGGTTCATGATACTAGGCAGGGCTGTTGAGGACCCACACTCCACAGGCAATTAGCATTCTCTCCTCTAAAGACAGTTGTAAACATGGGGCCATTGGGAAGAAAGTATGTCTTCCTCCCCAGCCCCTCTTTCCCTTGCCCAGCTTCTCATACTACCACACCAACAACAGTTGCCATCTTGTCATTTCCTGCTCATGGGGCCCCGCGTGTTACTGAGTTCATGCGCTTCATAAGACTTTCAATGGCTGATTTGTTTAGAAGCAGATGACCAGGCCTTTCTGCTGAGGTGCCTCTGGGTAACCTTGAGCCGCCAACCTTTTGGATAGTAGCCTAGCACTTAACTCTTTGTATCACCCAGGGACTCAGTTTCTAATTCAGGAGGCTGCGAATTCTTCTTGGGTATTATCCAATATTCTTGTGGCATAGTTGGGGTAGACTTTTGCTGTTATATAAATTCGTCCTTTTCAGTAAGTGTGATCCCTGCTTGCGAATGAGAAACATCACGTAGGAGCTTCTCCAATTACATGCCATTTCTGTGAAAGTGAATCTTTGATAGAGGTGGGTGGGGACAGCGTTCACAGTTGACAACCGGAGGGGAAAAAAATGCATAGATTGAGAACAAGCCAGGAAAAGAAAGGGAAGTGAGGAAGAAAATTGCAGCAGACTGGAAGATCACAGGGCCACACGCCTGAGCAAACTCAGTAAATATTATTTGATGATAATGGAGAAACGATGGCAAAGATGTTGGGTGTTTCTGAGTTCCTGGGAAGTGCGGGGGAAATTCCCAGAATGCTCTGCCAGGATCACAACCTTACTTCATGCTGAGACACCCTGCCAGGGCTGGCCATTCACCTCCTTGGATGGTGCTTATCTGGAACACTGTTGGTGATTGGAGTCATCATTTAAATTGGGATCACTTCTTTAGTCATCTGCTAAACACTCAAAAACCAGCACTGCTCGCCTGTTTCTGCTTTAGGCCCATTGCAGTGTAGCTGACACCAATTTGAGGGGGGAAAGCCATACATTCAAACAGATTGCATTATTTTACCAGTGGAAATTAGCATGTGTCTTTGTCTTTCTCTCCCCACTAATAATAAATCAATTACTGGTGACGAACGGGTTAAGCAGTCAGCTGCTAAGAGGAAGGTTCATTGTTGGAACCCACCAGCCACTCCACAGGGAAAACGGTGGCAGTTTGCTTCTGTAAAAATTGTTGCTCTTTGTTAAGTGCCGTCGAGTCGGTTCTGACTCGTAACAATCCTGTACAGAGTTTCCAAGGAGTAGCTGGTGAGTTTGAACCGCCGACCTTGCGACTCAAACCAACCTCATGGTCCAGTGCTTATCCTACAGTGCCACACTAGGACTCCAACCTTGGAAACCCTGTGAGGTCATTCTACTTTGTCCTGAAAGCCTGCTATGAATTCAAATAGCAATGAAAAGGGAAAACTACAGCGGAAAACACTTCCAACAAATTCTTGATACTCTTATACTCTTCTCACACACATGTTCTGCCCCAGAGGTGGGCGGGTTATACTAGAAAAATCCTAGAAACGAAAATGTGTCTTCTGGTGAACTGTTGTTTCCGATTCTCTGTTCATTTTTCCTCTAGAGGATTCAGTGCCTGGCATATAAAAAACACCATCACCACCCACAACATACCTTTCCCATCCCTCTAAACTAGAAGTCATCTCTGCTCTCCACATCCCAATAAAACCAAACAGCTGCCATTGAGTCGACTCTGATTCATGATCCATGTGTGTCAGAGTAGAACTGTGCTCCATAGTTTTCTGTTGCTAATTCTTCTGTCAAAAATCCCTAGGCCTTTCTTCGGAGTGCCTCTGGGCCTACTCACACCTCGACCTTATGGTTAGCATTAACTTTTTGCACCATCCTGGGGCACCTGAGTCCCAATCCTTGCTAAGTGCTGTCAATTCAGTTCTGACACATAGAGGCCCAAGGAGCGGCTGGTGGATTTGAACTGCCAACTAATTTCAATAATATTTAGTATTTTCCTACATGGTGATTCTTAAAATGTGATTTCTACTATGATGCAAATCCCCAGGTCTCTCTTTCTCTCTCTCTCTCAAGCATACACACACACACACCTAAAGAACCAGAAACTCTAGGGGCTGGGCCAGAAATCTGTGTCTACCAGCCCTCCAGGTGATTCTGCTATAGTCTACAGAGCCACCTTCCTCACTGCCTCCACTGTTACAGTGATACATGTTGTTTAAGAAATCATAAAGTGTTGCCAGAAAATTGATTCACCACTACATAGTTTAATATTTTAATTGCTTACAATTCCCAGCCTTATATAGTATATTAGTTTCCCAGACACAATGTTGTGTGCACGTATTTGACCTGCCATGACTTTTGTGAAAAAAAGATTTAAAAAATAATCTTTGCAATATCCAGAGTTAAAAGAATAACTGACGTCAGTTGATATAAAAGGAGAAATTTGATGACTCAGAGTCTATTGTGGCCACTTCACCCTTCACCTCTGTTCTCCAGGCTCTTGGTTCAATCAAAGTTTAGGGCAAAAAAGGCCAAATAGCTCCAAAGATATTTAAAGGAACAAATATCGCCCTTGGGTCGTATGTATTGATCAGTGAAGTTTCACTTTACCCTCCTGCACAGATATTTCTGATGAGATTTCATCTGTATTCAGAAGTCAGATCTATGCACATAGCACTCCAGAAACCTCATATTTGTTACGATTCTCCCACAGCTCAGCCTCTCCATCAATCAAAAAGGCCAAATCATTTTATTAAAGAACCTGTTGTCCATGCATTCTCCATTACGGTCTTCTGCAGGTTTCATTAGCATGTGTGGCCAACCATGAGTTTTCATGCACAAAATCATTTCTTGTCAAATTCCCACTGAAGTCAGGATTCTTAGAGGGAGGGACCCTCTGTTCTGAAATGCAAAATTAACTTTTGCTAAAGAGGTGAATGCAGCAAAGAACAATCTCCTCATTGTTGTTGTACTAATGTTTTGTATTCAAAAGACTGGCCCCGGATTACACATGCCAGTTGTTTTGTAACTAATTGCATGAGGGTTGACAATCTATTTCCATGCATTGTAAGAGAACACTCTCAAAGGGGTAGTTGAATGTAGTAATAATGCCAACTGGAAATTCTTTGCAAGGCTTTTTTATACTAATTAGACAAACTAACAAGGTAAGGCTGCATATAAGTTATTTCCCTGCTACTAAGGTGCATAAAACATACACAGGTGGATAAAATGTAAATTTAAAATGTTCTTCAATGCACTGATTGTTATTTCCTGGGAAATGAAGAGTATATAGTGAATTTGGAGAAAGCGCTTCAGAGACTGAAATTTCTTCTGTGTCTTATAATAAATGGATGTATTAATTCAGGAGGAAACAGACCTCTATCTGTAGATACACACTCAGAGAGGCATGTGAGGCAAATGCATGTATCCAAGTCCAAGTGTAGATATACTCTCACTTCTGTGACATCCCTCATCATCTCCTTGTCCTCTTATAAAACAAAGGCAAAACCAACTACTAATCTTGCTTCTCCTTAGGCGATTGGCAGTTTTCAGGTTTAAATTGAGTTTCTTGGTCTCCCTGTTTGGTAGGCAGAATTTCTGTCTGCTCCTAGTATTTCCTTGACCATACTTCATTTATGACCATTCTTCCCATGTAGAGAAATACAGTGACATATATCAAAGAAGTTAAACAGCATCTCCTAAAACTACTCTGACATCAGATGGATCTTGGCTGAAAGCAAAGAATACCAGAAAGGTTCACCTGTGCTTTATTGACTACACAAAGGCTTTTGATTGTGTGGATCATGACAAGCTATGGAATACAATGTGGAGAATGAGTATTCCAGAATACTGAATTGTGCTCATGAGGAACCTGTACATAGACCAAGAGTGAGCCATTCAAATAGAACTAACACCAAATGGTTTAAAATTAGATAATATGAGCCAGGGTTGTATCCTTTCACCATACTTATTCAGTCTGTATGCTGAGCAAATAATCTGAGAAACTGGATTATATGAAGGAGGGCATTAGGATTGGAGGAAGACTCATTAACAACCTGTGATTTGCAGATGATACAACCTTGCTTGCTGAAAGCAAAGAGGACTTAAAATACTTCCTGATGAAGATCAAAGATCACAGCTTTCGGTATAGGTTGTACCTTACTGTGAAAAACAAAACAAAAATCCACACCACTGGACCAATACACAACATTTCAAGATAAATGGAGAAAAGATTGAAGCCAAAGACTTCATTTTGCTGGGTCAGCCAATAACACTCATGGAAGCAGCAGTCAAGAAATCAAATGACGTATTGCACTGGGCAAATCTGCTGCATAAGATCTCTTTAAAGTGCTCAAGAGCAAAGCCATCCATCAGTTTGGAGACTAAAGTGCACCTGACCCAAACCATAGTATTTTTGATAGTCTCATATGCATGTAAAAGTTGCACAATGAGTAAGAAGACCATAGAAGAATTGGTGCATTTGAGTTACGGTGTTAGAGGAGAATGTTAAAATTACCATGGAGTGCTGCCAAAAGAACAAACAAATCTATTGCAAGAAATATAGCCAGAATGTTCCTTAGAAGCCACGACAGTCAGACTTTGTCTTTTATTCTTCAGAAATATCATCAGGAAGGACTAGCCCCTGGAGAAGGACACCATGCTTGGTAAAGTGGAGGGTAAGGGGAAATGAGACGGATTGGCATGTTGGAAGCAGTAACGGGCTCAAGTGTAGCAATGATTCTGAGGTTGGCGCAGGACCAGGCAAGCGTTTTGTTCCGTTGTGCATAGGGTTGTTGTAAGTCAGTACCGATTCAACGATGCCGAACAACAATTACTACTGTGCCATGTTTATATGATTACAGCTTTCAATATGGATTATAACTCAACATAAAGAAAACAAAGATCCTCACAGCTGGAACAATAAGCAACATTATATAAAGGAAAGACTGTAGTTCTAAAGGATAGCGTTTTTACTTGGATCTACAATCAACACCCATGGAAGCACCAGTGAAGAAGTCCAAGGACATATTGCATTGTCAGATCTGTTGGAAAAACCCTCTTTAAAGTGTTAAATGCAATGATGTAACTTTCAGGACTAGGGTGCACATGATTCAACCATGGTATTTTCAGTTGCCTCATGCATGTGAAAGCTGGAAAATGAATAAGATAAACTGTACAAGAACTGATGTGTTTGTACTGGTGAAGAGTTTTGAATATATCATGGACTGTTTGTAAAGCAAACAAATCTGTCTTACAAGAAGTACAGTCAGAATGCTCCTTACAAGCGTGGACTTATTATAGGGAGGGTCCAATCCCTGGAGAAAGACATTATGCTCAAAAGCTGAAACCCACCCAGAATCTGATTCATTCGACAGCTACTGTTTTGTTTTCTGGATAAGCTTCGTTTGGCTTCTCATTCAACCACATGAGCGGTTTCACAGAAAAATAATACTCCTCCTTCCTCTGTGTGTCACTGACTCCTGCTCCCTCTGCATGCCTCTCCCATAAAGGCATGGTAGAATCCTGGCTCCTAGAAGCCTGTGTGGGGGGAGCAAGGTCAATGACACCAGAGGAGCTAACCTGAATGATTGAATTCTGAGAGATACCTGACCCGCTCCGTGGCCTCTGTCTTGACTCCATCTCCTAGAATCAGAAGTCATAAAAGCAAGTCAGGGACTTAAAGGACTCTCAGCTCAGTTCAGTGTATCTTAGTTCCCTGCTGCTCTGTCTTCTCAGAGGAAAGCTGTGAGGTGACATTGGAAATTATTTGTTTTCATTAGCTAGCCCTGCAGGTGGGTGGCCATTGAAAACCCAAGTGCTTAGAGCATAAGGCTAGGATGAAGCAACGGGTCCATTCCTGTAATCATCTTGTGAGGTGATTGAGGATGCAAGTTGTGTACGGTTCTACTAGTGCATCAGGAAAGCTTAGCTGTTAGACAGTAGTAACGAAACCAGAAAACTGCCTTTATAGACAATGCCAAGGACAGTATTTGTGTGACCTGCCTGCTCTTCCATAAAGAGTCCTTCAGGGTAATAGAATCCCATGTCAGTAGAAAAGGAAATGAAACATCAGAGTATCTTTGTTCAATTATCAGGTAGAGCAAACAAATGTTCCAAGTCCTGCCGGAAGGAACAGTGTCAGAGAGACAGTCTGTAAGCCTACAGGGCAACATACTTGGATTGCAAAGATATAACGTATTTACTCCTGTGGGCTGTTACAGTTAGGATATTAGTCTACACACCCTGATAAATCACATATAGAGCTATTTTATGTGACCATTGTTCCACCGACTGGATAAAGTAAGGGGCCAGTTTGGAGGAAAAGAAAATGTTGATATTAGACAGTCTTATGAGCCTATGAATCAAATCTAAAGTTTGAGATTCAAAAGAATTAAATTATTTATGGAAAGAATTAACTTTGGTACTTTGTTCCTATTTCAAACTTGCTGAATGATTTAATTCTTCCAGTTTTTTATTTTTATTTTTAAGTTTATTAAGAATAGAATAGATAGATCATTTTACTTTGAAGTCTTTATTATTTTTCAATTGAATGTAAATGTTTAAAAACAGGATTTTCAAGGCTATTCTATTGATCAATTTGGGTGAGTTAAATAACATCTGTCACCTATTGAGGTCATGTATAAGTTAGTGAACCATTGAGATCATGTATAAGTTAGTGATCCACTGAGATCATGTATAAGTTAGTGATCCATTGAGATAAGCACTGAATGCATAAGGTCAGTGTTGTGGTTCAAACTCACCAGCCACTCCTTGGAAGCCCTATACAGAATCACGTTGAGTAGGAACATGAGTAAAGTGATACAGAGGAAAGAAATCACTAGCTAATGAAAATAAGCTTATCTTGTATATGGTAGTTCTTGAGTCTGAACTTTGGCTACAGTGAAAAAATAACTGAAGAGTCTTTTTCTTCAAAACTGTATATACAATTTCAATTAAAGCCCTTTGTGTTTTTTTTCTTTAGTGTCAATAATGTAAATTTTGAAAGGCTTATGGAGAGAAAAGTCCCTCTTAGGTGTACAGTTCAACAAAATCAATTATGGGTAATCGGATTCTGTCATTTACTGCTTATAGTACGAATGTCTCAAAACCACATGTTGAGGACATCCTGTATTTTCATTTTCCATGAGACTTACTGGTTGCAAACTGTCATTCATTAAGGATGTGTTGTTTTGTCAATATTGAGTCAAGCAACAGTTGAGCTCCACGAAACATTCTTACCATGATCTGCCCCACTGTACAAGGCAGGGGAAAAGCAAAAACAAATACGCATTACCAAAAATGAATGTGTTATCTGGAGAAAAATATACCAGTGTGTCCCTCAGTTTTCAATTAAATGTGAACTTTGTTATGATTATTATGTGTTTATTCTACTGTGTTATAATTTGCTTTGTTTTGTTGCTGATTTCCTACCAGTTATTCTCCTTAAAGCCAAGGACCATAGCTTGACAAATAAATATTCAGTAAATTTGTATGAAATAAATGAACAAGTGAATGAACAGAAGTGTGCAGTTGGCAGTCCTGTGCTTATCCTACACTGCCACAATAGGATTCTGACTTTATATGTAGGAGACTTAAATATTCTAACTTGATTCTGAATGCTGTCCGTTTCAGCTATTACACCAAATGTTTATACTTTACATATTAGCTGAGAAATATCATATCTAATCTGTCCACCTTAACCTTTATCTACATTAACTATGTTGATACATAACTTCAAGTGTAAGGTGAAGTTTAGAAAGTGAGTCTTTATGTACTTTGAAGTCTTTATTCAAAAAGAAATCTTAGTACTAATGGATACAGACGTGATCAATGGTTATCTGGAGAAGCTACCGTACCTATATAATACCAGGGGCATGTTACTGGTTTACATGTGGCTCTTAGCTGGAATTGTGTTGCTAGCTTATTCCTAAACCAAACACCCACAAAGAAAGGAATTACCCAGACTGGTTTAAGTAAGTCAGAATCCACTTCTAGTGTTTATTGTTATTATGTGCCATGGAGTCGATTCCAACTCATAGCAACCTTGTACAGGGTTTCTGAGACTGTAACTCTTTAGAGGAGCAGAAAGCCTCCATCTTTCTCCTGTCAAACAGCTAGCTGGTAGGTTTGAACTACAGACCGTGAGATAATCATCTCAATTCGTAACCACTATGCTACCAGAGATGAGGAGCCTATCTTCCGATTATGCTGAACTGCCTAATGCTTGGAACCAAAATGGCATCCTATTAATATGGAGGTTCCCTGGTGGCATGGTGGCTTAGGCAACGGGTTGCTAACCACAATATCAGCAGTTCAAACCCACCCATAGGAGAAAGATAGACACTCTGTTCCTATAAAGATTTATAGTCTTGGAAACAGAGTCTAGGTTCACATTATCACTCAGGATTGACTTGATGGAAAAGAGTTTTGTTCTGGTATGTATGTTTGCAGAAACTCACTAACAACAATTATATAAGTCTGGGTCCTATTTTCATAGAGCTGTCCTGCCTATTTTTCTGCCCACCTATACTTAACATGGAGTCCTGGTATGGGGCTGTGTGTTAATGTACCAGACTGCAAAGCCATTTGAACTGCAAGGTCAGTTGTTCCAGCTCACCAGTCGCTCCTCAGAAACCCTATACAGGGTCGCTATGGGTCGGAGCTGACTCGATGGCACTTACCAACAACAATACTTAACATAGGACTTCTGGTGTGGCACTGTAGTACTGCGAACCACAGTGTTGGCAGTTCAAACCCACCAGCTGCTCCTTAGAAACTCTGAATAGGGTCGCTCTGAGTTGGAATTGACTCAATGGCACTTAATAACATACTTAATATGGGACATCTGTTGTCAAATTACAGTCACTAGTTTCATGTTCCAGGGAGGAAAAATTCTTTTTGTTCTTGTATAGTGCTGTTGAGTTGATTCTGACTCAAAGCAACCCTGCACAGGATTTCCAAGGAGCAGCCGGTGAGTTTGAACTGCCGACCTTGTGGTTTAAACCGACCTTGCTGTCCAGTGCTTTAACCCACAGTGCCACACCAGGACTTTTTAGGATGTCCTAAAATCCCAAGAAAACAGTTTGCTTACATCTTATTGACCAGACCTTTGTCATATGGCAATATGTAGAAGATACAAGAGAAACTGGGAAATGCTCCCAGTTGGATGTGCAAGACCAAAGATAATGAAGTTTACTAACAAACAGGAAGGGGAAAAATGGATATTGTATGTAGTAAACAATTACCAGAATCCAGTACAGGTAGCAGTGAAGGATAGAATAAGCAAAGGCTTGGAGCGTGAAAGCAAGACGTATGGAGAACAATGACTTGTCCCCATCCTCTGCCATTCAACCCATCTCTGTTGCTAGCAATTTTAAGCAGGGAAATAGATGGCAAAGAATAGAAAGGAGAGGCAAAGGACATTGTAAATCAGGGAAGTGTTGAGACTGTGTACAGATAATTAGGATCTTGTTTTGTACTATATCATTGTTAACATTCTTGGAATAGTTTACATATGGAAGGGTATTATTTTTCCAAAATTGGAAATGTAAAAGTCAAGGTATAAGTGATCTTCCCAGCCTAAGAGTCTTAATTAGCACCAAGGTCACCTTTAGGGAAGGTGAAATACTGCCCAGAACGACTGGCTTATTATGAAAAGAATCAAGTGCTCTATAAGTAGAAGAATGAGGCAGATGAAGAGCTAATTAGCTACAGTAAACTCAGGCAAACTTATTGGTAAATTAGAGTTCATGCATATAAAGCTTCATTGTTATCTGTGACAACTGTGTCTTTATTTTTTTAAAGGTAGCCAGCCAGGTTGTTCAAGCTCTGCTCACTCAAAAGGTAAGTCACATTCTGACTTTATTATTTTCAAAATGCTTATTTGGATAGATTCAGATTTACGTTGTCAAACTGGGAAATTATGATTGATAGATGCAATATTTTCCATTTCTTCACCTGGGTTCAAAGCTAAGTATGTTTTAGAAGGCATTATGAACCAATAGAATTGTAAAATTCAAGCTCTTGATGAAGTGATAGAAAGCCTGCCAAAGATGAAAGATTTCCATGTACCCAGAAGGAGAGCAAACTTATTTTTATTTAGTAAATGTGAAATAAAATTGGTGCATTCCTTTGATTCCTATAAAATGAATATTCTCTATGGACAACATCAGCAGAAACCCGAGGACTCAGTAAGGGATCTTTGAAGTCACAGATGTTATTTAATTTCTCTAAGGCTTAGTTCCTTTTCTGTTAGAGGGGTCACAATTCCCACCTCCAGGGATTGCTGTGTAGATCCCATGAATGGAGGTTCACTTCATATATAGAGCCCAGCTGGTGATAAGTGTAAAATGAACGGTCTTAGAGATTGAATTGTGTGTCTCAAAAATATGTGTTAATTTGGCTGGGCCAGGATTCTCAGATTATGTAATTGCCCTCTATTTTGTGATGTGATGAAATTGTCTTGTGTTGTAAATCTTCACCCATATGAAGTTAATGGGATAAGATACAGTCTGCAGGATTAGGTTGGCTCTTGAGTCAATCACTTTTGAAATATAAAAGAGATTAAACAAAGGAGCAGAGAACAGAGGGTCCTACTACCAAAAAAAAAAAGAAGGTTCACAGCAAAGCACATCCCAGGATCCCTGTGCTAGAACTCCCTAAACCCAGGGGGATGTTGATGCCAAGATCCATTGATATCTCCAAGAAATGACAAGTCCACAGATGCTGGAAGAGGACAAGGACCTTTCTCCTCAACTGTGAACCAACAGAGAAAAAAGCCTTCCCGTAGAGTTTGCACCCTGGATTTTACTTTTCACCTTTGAAACTGAGAGAATACATTTCTGTTAGAGTAATCCACTTGTAGTCTCTGTTATAGTGGTGCTTGATAAGTAAGACAAATGTGAACGATTGAGTGACATCTTTGTACATACTACTTTGCTACCTCTATTCTGTCTTTAGACAATTTCAGATCATATTATTCGGATAAAGTAGATAAATGCATCATTGTTTGTCCAAATATGACTAATTTGGTGACTTCTACCGAACTTTCCCCATCTTTTATCATGATGTTTCACACAGATGAAATTCTAGTTACTTCTGATTTTGCTTTCTCTGACTCCTTTTTTGTGATGGGGAGCCTTCCTCAAGCACAGGAAGCCTCGTATCATGTCCTTTTGATTTTAAAAAGAGTAAGATATTTTATTAGGGGAGGTTATTTCATCTACTCTTAAATATTATTTTTAGTTTCCACCTCTGGTAGTGTAGTGGTTACGAATCAGGCTGCAAACCGCAAGGTCAACAGTTCGAAACTACCAGCTGCTACGTGGGAGAAAGATGAGGCTTTCTGCTCCTGTAAAGATTTACAGCCTCGGAAACCCTGTTCAGGGTTGCTATGGGTTGGAATTGACTCCATAGCACTTAACAACAACAACAGCAACTGAACAGACATTGTGGTAATATTTGGACTAGATTTTCTCTTCTTGTACTTCTGTCAATATGCAGGTGTCCACAAAGAATTTTAATGGCTTCAGGTTTTACACTAATGTCATATAAATAAAGAGATTTAAGTGTACTTATTACAGTGGGTTAAGCATGAGCTCTGGTAGCGTAGTGGTTATGAATCGGACTGGGAACAGCAAGGTCAGCAGTTCGAAACTACCAGCTGTTCCAGGGGAGAAAGATATGGCTTTCTGTTCCTGTAAAGATTTATGGCCTCAGAAACTCTGTACAGGGTCGCTATGAGTCAGAACTGACTCCACGGCACATAACCACCAACTACCATCAAGCATTGAACTGCTAACAGAAGGTCAGTGATTTCAACCCACCAGCTACTCCATAGAAGAAAGCTAAGATAGTCTATTTCCATAAAAACTTACAGCCTTAGAAACCCTATAGAACAGCTACACTCTGTCTTAAAGAGCCACTCGGAGTTGGAATTTATTCATGGTCGGTGGGTTTGGTTTTGCTGATGCAGAGTTAAATTATGTTCCATTGTGAATAACATAAAAACAAACTAGTAATGGCTGAAATACATGGAAATGGTATTTCCTTCTCATCTATGAATACACAGGTAGGCAGCACAGGGTTGGTACGGTGGTTCTGTTCCATAGAGTCCAGCTGCTTTGTTATTCCATGAGGTCACTTCATGGTCCCAAATGACTTGTGTCATCTCCTGCCATGACATCCACATTCCAGTCATCACAATGATACAAAAGCTTAAGAAAGTGAAGAAAGTAAATGGTGCATTATTAGCTGTAATTTCAGGGAGACTTCCAGAGATTTCAGGCGCGATGGGCTTTCATCACATGGCTCCCTTTAGAAAGGTGACAGCGAAGTCTTCATGCATGTGCAAAGCTGAAACTTGATTGCTATGATAGTATGAAAGGAGAGAAACTTGTTGGGAGACAACATACAGTTTCCGACACAAATTACGTGATTATCTTTTCTTTTTCAAAGGTTAAATTTTTCAATTGCTTTCTTCCTTTTGAAATCTTTTAAGGACAGTGCAACAGTTCTGTATGTAACTGCAGAGAGAGTCCCTGTGTCCGTCTGTCTTTCTGTCTGTCTGAATGGTGCCTCAGGAGAGAGACAAGAAAGCAGTCTGGTGCAATAAAAAGGAAAACGTGAGCTTTCCAGCCAGCCACAGAAAATAGCTACACAAATCTAAGTAATAACTAGTAAACAGATAAATCTACCATGGTACAGTTTAGCAGTAAGACATAGAATGATGTTCCCCTGTAAGATAGTGTACCCTCAGGGAAACTGAAGTGGAAAGACATGCCTGGGGGCTTTCAGAGATTCCAAAGGAAACCTGTTCCATAGAACCATGTGCCTCCCAGATTTTACTGGATAGAGAAAGACTAAGATTTATTTTAAATTAAGAACACATATAGGAATTTCAATGACTCCAGCTGTAGACGAGGAAACAGGTTCTATAGAGGGATCTAGCTGGCACCCAGGAAAATAGCAATCTCAGTTGTTTTATTCAAATTGCCAAAAAAAAGAAAAACAAATGAAAAAAAGAAAGATCCTTGAGGTGAAGTTATAGACATGACCATACAATATAGAATATAAAGCATTTGTTATGAAACAAAAACAAATCTCTCATGGATTCAATTCTTCACTGGGCAGTGAAAAAAAGAATTTTTTTTATGGCATAGAATCAATCGGCTCTGAAAAGGAGCTTCAAGTAACAAAGTGGAACTCTTCTCAAAACAGAAAGAGGAAAAGATTCATTTCCATAAACTTATCTGTTGTTAATAAGTGTACATATAATGCTGTGATCAGGTAATTCAATTTATTCCCAAAACCTGTAGATTCCCTTAATAGAGAGTAGACCATCCCCCTTTAGATCAATAAGCCTAAAGTGACGATGTTAAACACAGATCACTTCTATTTACACCACCAAATCATAGGCCTTAGTCTGTCTACAAAGTGAAATCGATAGCCCAAGCCAACATCCTATTTTTACCTGAACTATATTTTGTCTTCATTAAGTCGATTACACTTGCTGAAAACCTAACTCTCTTCTTGGTTCTTCAATATTTTTTGCCACTAACACCGAAGATGAAAGGAAAACATTTTCCCTGAAGTTATTTTTCAGTATCTCAACAACTTAAGATCTATCTGCTTGCCCATTGTTGTGGTTGTTGTTGTTAAGTGCCATCGAGTCAATTCCAACTCATAGCAACCCTATATAGGGCTTCCAGGGAGTGGGTGGGGAGCTTGAACCACTGACCTTGCGGTTGAAACCAACCTTGCCAGAACATGCCTTAACCCTCAGCACCACACCAGGACCCCACATATACATTGTTGTTGTTGTTAAGTGCCGTCAACTCAGTTCCGACCCATAGCGACCCTGAACAGGGTTTCTGAGGCTGTAAATCTTTACAGCAGCAGAAGCCTCATCTTTCTCCCACGGAGCAGCTGGTAGTTTAGAACTGCTGACCTTGTGGTTCATAGCCCGATTTGTAACCACTACACTACCAGAGCTCCTTACATATCCATTAGAGCAACTAATATCTGTATGGTATGTTTTCTTCTCCAGAGTGGAATAAGGCTGGTGTATGATATAATTAAGTCACACAGCTATTAAATAGAATTAAAAAGCATTTTTGTAGTTTTTGCTTAAAGAATTTCACCTCCCACATATTCCACTTAAAGCAGAAGGAGCAACTGCACCATTTGTGCCCACTTCTCTTGCAATGGTCTTTGTAGGCTCTGGTTCCTGGTACAGGGTCTTGTTTACATTTATTGTGCACTTACAAGTCACACCCCCATGCCCAGCACTTCAAATTCACTAAACTCTTTTTGTTCTCACTGCAACCCTGTAGGACTAAGAAAATAAGTAACTTGCCCATTGTCCTTAAGTGCTAGGAAGTGGCAAAGCCCATACTTCAAGCTAAAATTATTACCTTGCAAACCACATGCTCTTGCCTACTACCTATGTAATCCCACTCAATTGCTTCCTGGTTTCCCCTACTACAACGCAGTGTTATTAAGTGCTACTGAGTCTGTTCCAACTCATAGTGACCAAGGAGCAGCTGGTGGGTTTGAACTACCACCCATATGGTTAGAAGTCCAGTGCTTATCTATAGTGCCAAACCAAGACAGTGAAGTAAAGTTGGACAAACGCCATGAAAACCAAAACATGGATTAAAATCCATGTTCTCAGGAAATAAAACAAAAAGAAGCTCCCCAATGGAATTCTTAAAACTTCTAGAAGTCTGGCTGGTCCTTTCCAGCAATAAAAGCATCCAGGTTTTGATAGGATGGAGCCAAAACAGACTGAGAATGTGGAATCACGCTTCCTTAGATTCAGCTTTATTTTGGACTTGAGAACT